TTTTGTCTGTGCACAAACAATCACGGGAAAAGAACCAAAATCCAGTAACAGTGATTAAATTTCAGAAACAATAACTTAAATTTCAGAAATAGTGACTTATATTCCAGAAACGATGACTTAAATTCTAGAAACAGTCTATGTTTTAACCTTTGACTGTTTCTTTTCTTTCATATATTAGTTGATTATATTTAAGAAACATGGTGCTTATTTTGCTTTGAATCCAAATACAATGAATTTCACTATTTCTTTTCTAGCTTACATTTAAGAAACAATGTGTCTATTTCATTTGGATCCATAAACAGTGACTTAGATTCCAGAAACAATAACTTAGATTCTAGAAACAGTGTTACTTAAAATCCATAAACAGTTTATTTTTACAGTCCAGAAACAGTGACACCGTCGTTATTATTAAATAGCATGCAAATCTCAAATTTATTTTATTGAGAAACAAACGATAAACTTCACTGACGAAGAAAAATTGAAAAACAGTACCTCGAATACACTATGAATAATAACGACGATCACATTTCAATGAAATAATACAAAATATAAATTAAATAGTATGAGGGTCTATATTTTTGTTTCAAAGAAAAAGAAGAAGGTCTGCAAAACAATGATAAACTCTATTAACGATGAAAATCTGGAACTCATACTAAAAAAATTAGGGGTAAAATTAACAAATCATAATTTATTATAGTTGGACAACTTTAATATAGACCTTGTACTAATCTTTAAACAAAACTTATAACATGATTTTTTTATTAAAACTAAAACTTTTCAAATCATTTTCATTTATTTTTTTAAATTTAAACTCATATAACGAAAAATAATAAAGTGATGATCAAAACTATTTTCTCAAGTTGGATTGTACATAGAGGTGACAATTTGCACCCAACCCGTAAACCCGAATCAACCCACCCATTCAACCGATACAGTTGGACACATGGAGGAGCGGACAAGTGGCAGCTCATTTAAGTTGCCTCCTGTATCTGATCTTCAGAACATTTCTAGAACCAACTAGATCAACTGTCATCTTCTCGAATTAACCAGAGAACGTTGCTGACAAACACAATAAGAAATTGCCTTTCCCTTCCCTTTTCTCCAATTCTCTCAATCTCTGATTCGTCCTGTGAGCTCGATTCCTGAGGAGGAAGACGATGGCGGCGTACAGATGGAAGCACTTCGAGGAGAACGAAGACCGTCCCGAAAAACCTCGAAGCTATGGCGTCACAGAAATGAGAGGCCCCCATTACTCCCTCTTGAGCCAAAACGTCCTCCAGGTACTTCCCAAAATTTCGTCTTTCTTTTCCCTTGGATTCATTTCTTCATCATTTTTTTGCTTTTGGGGTATTCACAAAATGTTGTTCTGCTATGTAACTTTCAAAATTTTGGCTTGCCCCCATTCAAAATTTCAAATTTTTGCTTTTCTTTCAATATTTTAGGACTTGGGTTTTTGAATTTGTGGAAAAGTTGATGTGGGTTTATCATAATTTGTTGTAATTGGTAATTAATGTTTGCAAATGTTACATTTTAACAGGGTATTTTTGAGTCAATGGGGCAGTTTGTTGATGGGTTGAAGTTTTCTGGAGGTTCCGACAGCTTAATGCCGAAATCGTTCATCAAAGAAGTGACTGATGTTGCTCACCAGCATGATGTATATGTCAGCACCGGCGATTGGGCTGAAAATTTGCTTCGAAAAGGTCCGTCGGCTTTCAAAGAGTATGTGGAGGTGAGAGGCTTGAAAGAAATTTCATTATTTCAGTGATATGTGTGTGTGTATATATATATATATATATGTGTATTTGTATATGTATGCTGTCAGTGGCATTGATTCAGTGTTTTGCTATGATTTCTTTAGGAATGTAAGAGCTTGGGGTTTGACACAATCGAGCTGAATGTGGGATCTCTTGAACTTCCTGAAGAAACTCTTCTGAGATATGTGCGCTTGATTAAGAGCGGTGGTCTGAAAGCGAAGCCACAGTTTGCGGTCAAGTTTAACAAGTCCGACATTCCTGTAGGTGATCGAGCATTTGGAGCCTACGTTGTTCCGAGCCCACGATCATCTGGTATGCCGTGCAATCTTTCCTCAAAAAATAAGTGAATGATATGTTTGCCTTGATAGCTAGATATTGTCCGAGAGCTCTGCATACAACTTGTAGATTTTCTTGTTGGGACATTTAATAGCTCCGAGCTTAAAAAACATATAGAAACTGAATTCCAGAAATTGCCAGTCCTCGTTCTTTTGTTCCGCTGTTATGTGAAGGTTAGTTCACATTCGCAAACAAATAGCCTACCACAAAGGCCGAAAAGGAGGAAAAAATTGCGCTTCAACCTTAAGTAAAGAAACGTAGAATTTCGGTTTAATGGCATGAATCCAAGTAATTGAATTTGTCTGGTGTATGTGATATCAATATCTGTTTTACTTTGATTACTAGGCTGCATGATACCATGAATAAGAGTTAGCAACTAATGATATTATTACTAGGCTGCACGGCACCTCGAGAAAAGTTGTGCAGTCATTTTTTCACGCTGATGGTTCTTCCTTCTTGCATTCGTCTTTCTGATTATTGCTTTTTGTTTGTGATGGTAACATTTCCTTGACGTGTGTTGTGATCATATTACACGAAGGATGGTGCAGTGGTAGGAGCACCCCTATGGTTATTTGGTTATAACTTATAAACATGACCGTTGTCTTTGTTTTCTTAGAATTTGTTGAAGATGTTGATCTTCTGATTAGAAGGGCTGAGAGATGCTTAGAGGCTGGGGCCGACATGATAATGATCGACGCTGATGATGTCTGTAAACAAGCTGACTCATTGCGGGCAGACATAATTGCGAAGGTTATCGGGCGCCTGGGGGTTGAGAAGACCATGTTCGAAGCTTCAAATCCAAGAACATCAGAGTGGTTCATCAAACAATATGGTCCAAGGGTATACAACGTGCTCTCATATTTTGCTTTCTTCATTTCTTCTTTGTGTATAGTGCATTGCACATGCTGCTAAATCGTTCTTGTTTGCCTGAATTACTAGGTGAATCTCTTCGTGGACCACTCCCATGTGATGGATCTCGAGTGCCTCCGGGGACGCAACTTAGGTAAAAATCATGCATCTGTGCTGGGTTCTTCTTATTTTCTGTTTTAAAACCTTTTATAGTTAAACAAAGGGCGAGAACCAAAAGTTGTGCTAATGTGTGGAAGCGTCTCCGTTGTCCTGTAACTTTGTGCTGTTGATGTCACGTTGTATGTGTTCCTCCGTTGCGTGTGACATTAACGAAGTAGCTTATATTTGGTCATTTTTGCAGTAAATGTATGTTCAGGTTTTTGTGTAATCGTTTTAATTCAGACAATTCAATTCTGAGTACTGTAACCTAAGTTGAAGTTGAATAATTGACGTCGACCTAGTTTGGGAGTGAGGTGCTTAAAAAAAAACACCCATGAAAAAAAGCTGAGGGTTTTAGGTGTTTGGTAAACTGAAAAAAAAAAAGGCTTATTTTGGAAGTTTTTGTGAGAATAAGCTGAAATTAAAGGAAAAAGCTGAAGCTGCTATTTGCAGTTTTGGAAAACTGGTTTTTTTTCAAAGCACACGGAGCTACAGTGCTTCTTTAATGAAAAGACCTACTATTAGACTGCTTTTTTTTTTTTCCAAAAGCACTTTTACAAAAAAGTTTACCAAACATTTTGCTGATTTATTTTACAGCTGTTTATTCTCACAGCAGCTTTTTTTCAAAGCACAGCAATACCAAACCAGCCCGTCGTCTTTCGAGCGAAAAATTGATGTTGTAGCCTTGTAGGGATCTATATTCTTTACTACATCCACAGGCATGTTAGGTAACTCTTGTAGTGAAGATCATCATGCGGCAGAGAGAAACTTAGGTGCAGGTGGATCGTCACCCGAGGGTTCACGTGAGACTTTTACCCCTGTGCTTATAGACGATTCTCACGTGCTGTAGGCACAAGGGTACATACGGCGGTTGCATTCAAGAAGATTTGTATCAATGTTACTTCGCAGTTAACATTATTCTTTGTTGTTTAATTAATTCTACTCTTATGTTTCTATTAGCAATTGATCAATTAGTCACAATGCTTATTTCTTTGAAGCCTAACATTTTACACCTTCAGGTTTGAAGTGGTTTTTAAAACGAGTAATGTAATTTTAATTTTTTCACATTGACTCCTTAAACATCTCTCCCAATTAAAGTGACTCTTTTTGTCAACATGACGCGAATATGGCTTATTTAATGTGATAAAATAAAATTTTCGTGATTTATTTAAAAAATCTCTCTAAACTTAAAGCGTGTAAAATGTAATTATACGTTTATTTTTCTAATAAAAAAAAAGTGTAAAGATATTATTATTTGGCAATAATGCAAGACAGCTCCCCTTGTGGTTAGGTGTGCAATAGTGTGTGGAAAAAGGACCTACTTCCTTCCTAATTTGTGTTGCACGTTTCAGAATGTTAGCTCATTTCAAACAAGTCTCCGTTGTTTACGGACCAAAAAAGTCATATCGTTTCGCTTATTTCAGCGTTAGTTGATAAAGCAAGTCGTAATAAATATAATTCAAGAAAAGAAGATGGAGACGGTTTTAGCATAAGAATCAAGAGTAAGAATACTTTATAATTGGGAGATATGTGCTCGTTTTAAAATGCTTTTAAAATAACTGATAACATTTTTAATGAAAATTGTCTTTTAAATCAACCATTAGTAAAAACTCGAGTAAATTATGAAAAAATAATTTAAATGCTATATTTGGTGCTTCTTTCAAAATGTAATAGCAGTTCTTTCGATTATTTTTAAAACACTTTTAAACGAATTCTATATGTACTGTAACCTATTATCGGTGCTTCAAAAAAGTCACGGATAAGATTTTTGTCAGTTGAATGACAAATTTTGTTTCCATTTTGTTTTGGCTCGACAGATAAATTATAGCAGGAAAGTTGTTTTTGGTGTTTTGTCGAAAAACTCCTTATACCTGGGGGGATAATTACGACGGAAGAACTAAAATTGCACAGTGAGTTGGTGGCGTCTTAGATCCTCACGTGCTCACCTTCTTCCTCTTCCGATTCGATTGGACGAAACTTCTGCAACAACAGCGACCGCGCCTACTCAGTCTATTTAACCAGTAAATCCTCCGTCACATAAAACTCCACTCCCATAATTCCCACCTACCTTTTCAGCTGAAAATCTGACAGAGGAAGAGGAAGCCATGGCCACCCAACAACCCATCTCAAAGAAGACGGCTTGCGTCGTCGGCGGAACCGGGTTCATGGCGTCTCTGCTGGTCAAGCTACTGCTCCAGAAGGGCTACGCCGTCAGAACCACCGTCAGAGACCCTGGTCAGACTCCCTCTTCTCCTTTTTTCCTAATTTATTTAATTTATCTAATTTTTTTTTAACTAGACGATTTTCTAGACTACTCTGATACATAACGACATTAAAAACGCTGGTGAATATCTTGACCAACTCGTATGCAATTTCTTTTGAAGTTTCAATTTTTTATTTTTTATTTTTGTCAACTGCAATTTATGCCCTGTGAAAAACCATGTTCATAACCAAAGAACGAAGACAAAGTATCTGTATTGTCAGTATTGATGCTTTGTCCCCACTTTCAGTCCTCCTGACTAGGTTGTTTTGTCGTAGTAAGATTCTCTTTTTTCCAAATTACCTTTTCTTCAATGGCAGATCCACTAAAGATGTGATTGTTTGTCCTCACTAACTGTTACTGGACCAGACTACATACTCCTGTGTCTGTTAAGTGGAGGGATTAAATTAAATGAGACTAAAGGGGACATGCAGGGACTAACTCCCTCGCTGTACTACATATTATTCTTATACTACATAGTCAGTGTCAAGCTAATTCAGCTCAGTTTTTAAAACTAGTCCAGTGCAACAAACGCAAGAGACCAAAATAGTCCCTGGCCTATCAGGCCTTTTTTTTCTTTCTTGCTACTGTAACAGATGCGGCTGGTGCATATTAATACAGGGGTGTGCTATCCACACACCCCTTTTTACTTCTCTCATACCCTTTGTTAATTTATATCCTTTGATCTTCTTCAATTCATTCAATCCGACGACCGAAAATTAAAAGGGTGTGAGAGAAGTAAAAAAGAGTGTGTGGATATCACATCCCTTAATATAATATCTTTAAAATTCAAGCGTGTTCTCAATCCAAACTCTTTTATGTTCTAGGCCAGCATCATCTTTCTCTCAATTCCTCAATTCCTCTTATTGCAGTGCAGTCTTCACTTCCCTTCCTTGTTCTATCAACTTTGCTTTGGCTTTAACTTATATTTTTTTTTTTTAAATTCTTGCTTACTCTTTACTTCATATTCGAGGTTCTAGGTTTGTGCAATGTTTCTTAGTTCCCTCTATTGAATTTAAGGTCTTTCAATTTTTATGCAAATTACTCCAATCTCTCATGCTCTGAGTTAAAATTACCTATGTTTGTGAGAGGCCCTCCCACACATGAAATCCTGGCTCCACCACTGCTCCCCTTCCTTCCTCTCCTCTCTCACTTTTGTGACCGCTCAAATAGAAAGGGACAATAGAGGAGGGGAATTCGAAGGGAAGAGAATCCTACTCCGTTTCCATCTCCTTATATAGAACCATTGCACTGAAAAGTTTCTCATTTTACGCGTTTCTGGTAGAAAAAATTGAAACTTCAAAACGTTGTACTTGGCATGTGATGAGTAAATCCAATATGACCATTATGCTAGAGGTGTTAGTGACAAGACAAGGTAAAAGTTCATAATAAGATTTAATTACTCATCTGAATTTACTGTTGGAATTCAAAGAGGCCTTCGTAATTTTGTAGGTTATCAGTAAATTTTGAGAAAACTTATCAGTTAAATTCTTGTTTTAATGTGCTGGCATGAATTGGTTTTCAATTTTTGATACATTTGGGTGCAGACAACCACAAGAAGGTCTCCCACCTCACAGCACTACAAGAGTTGGGTGAGCTAGAGATTTTGGCAGGAGATCTAACTGATGAAGGGAGCTTCGATGCCCCAATAGCAGGCTGTGATCTTGTTTTCCATGTTGCAACCCCTGTCAACTTTGCCTCACAGGACCCGGAGGTCTGGATTTTGTGAGAATTTCTTGATGAAATGTTGCATTCTGTATAGTTGAGGACAGTGGTAATACTAACATTGTCAATTAACAGAATGATATGATCAAACCAGCAATCCAAGGGGTACTAAATGTTCTGAAGTCGTGCGTGAAAGCCAAAACAGTTAAGCGCGTTGTTTTGACATCATCAGCTGCTACAGTTTCGATCAATACACTTGAAGGAACAGGTTTGGTCGTGGATGAAAAGGATTGGAGTGATTTGGAGTTCTTGACTAATGTAAAGCCACCCACTTGGGTATGTCACCAAAGCCTTTGTCTTTAAATAGGCCTAGTGTCTAGAAATTCGCCGAATGAAATGATCAAACAAGAACGTTTTCTCAAATTCGCAGGGGTACCCTGCCTCCAAGACACTAGCTGAGAAGACAGCTTGGAAATTTGCCGAAGAAAACAACATTGATCTAATCACTGTGATCCCTTCTCTTATGGCCGGTCCTTCTCTCACTCCAGACGTTCCCAGCAGTATCGGCCTTGCCATGGCTTTAATCACAGGTTTGAAACCAGAAGCTAGAACAATGAACTACGTTGCACTACATCTCCGAAAGGCATGGTGATCTGATGGTTTCTTTTAATGGTTTACAGGAGATGATTTCCTCATAAATATGGCCCTGAAAGGTATGCAAATGTTATCAGGTTCGATATCCATTGCACATGTGGAGGACGTCTGCCGGGCTCATATATTTTTGGCTGAGAAAGAATCTGCATCTGGTCGGTACATTTGCTGTGCTGCCAACACCGGCGTTCCTGAGCTTGCTAAGTTCCTCAACAAAAGATACCCCCAGTACAAAGTCCCCACTGAGTACGCCCGTAATCCTAGTATTCGAAAACCTAGATTTATAAATTCCTGTTTTTGATGATGAGTGGTATGTTTAGATTTATGTACACCGAGTGTTTTTTCGTTCTAGTACTTCGACATTGCATTCGCTTTTTATAGTCACCCTCAAATGTTTCTACCAAGAAAATTCTGATTAAGGTTTGGAACTTAAAGTTGGTAAGTTGCATTGATTGTCGAAGTAAAATTGAAAGGGTTTAGACTTGAACTCCAGCTCAACTAGCTATTGTACAATTTCGGATGGTTTTTTCATTCTCCGTTGTAATTGCAGGTTTGGAGATTTTCCGTCTGAGGCCAAACTGATCATCTCTTCAGAGAAGCTTATCAAGGAGGGGTTCGATTTTAAGTATGGCATCGAAGAAATATATGACCAAACTGTGGAGTACTTCAAGGCAAAGGGGCTGCTGCAGAACTAGAAAAACCAAGTCTCACTAGCTTGTGATCCTCCTGTTATGTGGATCACAAAAAGTGTGTAATCGATCAGCATGTATCGAGCTAGCTATCTCTCTATTGTCTGGCTTACCGTAAATTTTCTTGTTAAAAAGCATCGTAATTTGCTGAGTTTGGCAAATGGTAATAAAATCGAGCAGCGACGAAAAAGCAACAGCGGCGTGTTGCTTTCTGATGAGAATTAGATGCTTGCTTTTTGGTTGAACCGCAGGAGTGGCTGTGTTCTGTGTGAAGGCATGTTCATAGTCCAACATGTAGGATGCCGTTTCTACACGATAAGTCCTTTCAGGAAAACGGCTGATCGTTTAAGCACAATTAACGAATCAAAACCGAAAAGGTTACAATTAAAAGATGAATAAGCATGAACAAGTTTAATGTACAAGTACAAGACTCTGAGTTTTTAAGTTCGGTGACCACTTTGTCCGCCTTCAGCGTTCAATCAAAGCATCTTTGTTCTTCAGCAGACCGATTTCAATGAAAGTTTCTTCAGCTGCAGGAGTTTGAGCAGTACGTGTAGTTCCTCGAGTGATGCGTCTGTAAGAGCAACCATATAAGCTCTATAATAAACTAGCCAAGAACATAAGATTTAACCAACTAAATCACAATCATCACTCCAAATATATTCTGTATATGTAAATACTGAAGTAATATCTACAACACATACCTACAAACTGTTGAATTCTGCGAGGACCTCTGGGTTGCTGCCATTCTTCTTTCTTACGGCAGATCGCTTCTCTTTCAATTGCTACTCTCTTTCTTATCTTGAATAACTTCTTCATGTTTCACGGCATTGATCACAAGAAAGAGTAGTACTAGACACCATATATCTAATGTTCAACATATTAGGATTAAGAACCATTGGAGAAATCTACACATAACCTTCTCCTCTCTGCAAAACTCAATGCTCTCCAAGTTATAGGTAATTGGAACAATAAGAGCGCGTTTTGTGAGAGCAGGGGCTTGTGGTTTTATACTACAAGACCTGGATCGCCCTATAACAATCCCACAAGAAATACAAGACTGCATTCCTTATATCAATATGAGTCCTATAAACGAGCAAACATAAGAGTCCTCAATATACCAATATGATTGGATTAACTCCTGTCAACATGATTTAGACTTCTTTATAATATCAATTATCCCAAGACTTGTAAGAATCATACTCATACTCTTACAGCGTCATCTTCAAGATCCACAACGGGAGGAACGGCCTGTGAAAAGGAGAATGGAGATGAATAAGTAGGAAGTTGTGTTAACCTGGAAACTGATATGAAAAGTATACCCCAAAATGCAGTTATTCCAATCCCCTTGCATTGTCAAGAGCTATGTCAACTCTCAAATCCCAGCACAATGGCTTCTGACTCTCCTCTACATTTCCAAACAGATAAATCTTAAATTTAAGTGCCTTGGTGATGAACAATTATCGAGAATTATCAACAAATAGAACTGGTTACAAACTTTTAACTAAAATTAGAAATTGAAGGTGAAGGATACTAAACTAATGATAAAATGAGCACTAAACTGTGCATATTGTTTATTTGAAGTTTGGAACCAGTTTTTGTCTGTGTATTATTTCCCGAAACTATTCAAGGGGCTCAAAACGATAAAAGATGTGTCTATTCGTGCTAGGAAATCAAATAAACCGGTGCGTTACGGACGGAAAGTCTAGGGTTGTGAGATTTGTTACCATGCAAATGAGAAAAGAGACTGCCGTTGCTCAAGTACTTATAAAGAAGCATATATTGTCCAACTTCTTCTACAATATATCCCACCAAGTTGACGAGGTTCTTGTGGAATAATCTTCCGAGCAACAGAACCTGAACACACAGATATGTACGTGCGTATATATCAAGATTTTACAAAGTGACCGGTGTATGAGATGCATCGATATATTAGACAACTGAATTTATATAATTAATTTTAACACTTATAATATAATCATTTAAACACCGATGCATCTCACTCCAGTGTACCATAGAAATATCCCATTGTATTATGAATGTAGGGATTTACCTCAAGCCAAAAACTCGTTCTGGCCTTGGGTGGAATTTGAAGCAAGAACTTTGACGGCAAAGGTGTCACCAGTGCTCATTTGGGCCTTGTAAACGGGCCCAAAAGCTCCTTGCTCAATTGTTGTCGTGAAATTATAAGTTGCTTTCTGTATGTCTGTCAAAATCTAGAAAGAAAAAAAAAGCCGGCAAGCTAATTATTCACTATTTTTTCCTTTTTTTAGGGGTCAAAAAGCAAAGATTTCATTAAAAAAAACTGTGGATCAATACCAATGACAATAGATAAGCCTAATACAATTGGGGGTAGCCAAAGCCCAAACAAAAAAGGGGAGAATAATAATAAATAAATAAACCCCTAAATCCTATCTTGCACAAGCAGAAATTCGGCGTTGACATCAACACAACCACCACGCCAACTGCCACAAGGGTAGAAGCCCCAAGAAAATAAACTTTGCATTGATGCGGGGCGTGCCAACTCTTCGGCCGAGCTCGGCGGAGGAGTAAAATGTGTTGATATTGCGTTGGGTGCGCTGCTGACTTCTCGATCTTGTGATTGCTACCAAGGAAGGAACACTATCGGCCTTCGGGTTCTAGAGTCTGAAGACAAGGCTGCTAGTTCTAAGGAGTTCACAAATCGTCGGCGTCAGATTCAGTCACGGTGATTATATTTGTAAGGGTATAAGCACGCCAAATCGACACCAGAGTATAGGGGTACAGATACTTAAAACAAATATATGTCTTGATGGTAAATATGGTTTGGCCTCAGAATGCCGAACTCTAAAGCTTACTCGTGAATATCCAATCATAAAAACAACTCAGCGTTCAATGTGATGAGCCCTAGTAAACTGTAACACCTTACCTCGCCAAAAAGGCTAATGAGATGACCTCTGCCAATAAAAACTCGAAAGTCTTTGCCGACCGAGACTTGGATAGATAACCAGTCGGCCTCAACGCAATGCTGTTTATCCAAACTAAAGGTGTTCTGCGATCGGTTGGTTCTACGGCAATAGTGATGTTTATCTAAACTAAAGGTATCACCGGTTGCCTTCACAGTGCTGTTTATCCAGACTAAATATGTGTTGCGGAAAAAAAAAATCTCAAAGTTGTTGAGAGAGTTTGCGCATGACAATTTGTGTGTTGAATTGGAGAGACTGAAATGTTGCACGGTATCTTGTATTTATAGGGACGAGTATGCGCTGGTTGATAAGTTGATAAAGACTCCCAAGACTCTGAACTTAGTAAAAACTGCAACCAAATTCAATCCTTGCGTTTTGTCTTATCACATCAAATCCCAAGATAACCTGCATGCTTGGATTTGAATAAATAACGTTCATCTAAATAGCCACCAATTATATATATATATATAGTTTGCACCTTTCACATGGCATGCAGACTATACGGCAACTATATATATAATTATATAACTAGTAGCCTTTCACACGACATGCAGTCCAAGTCCATCATCAATTCAATTCATCTGACAACATCCATATATAACCCAGCCTACTTAGGTCACCTATCTCACCATTATCCAAGCCTTGCAAATCCTATGCTATGCCACGTGATAAGAAGCCAAGCTAAGTTGCTCTGATCCACACGGTACACTGCTAACAAATCCAAATTAAATCGGAATGTTCCACATGTCTCTTCGTTGGGGCTATGATTTTTATCCCATTTATTTTGTACAAGAAAATCCAGATAATTTATTGAAAGATAATTATTATGATTAAAAACCATAATATTATCTCTTAACAATAGCAAAGTATCTTAACTTTCTCATCCGACGGTTAAGAACAATGCTCACTCAACGGCCTTGATTACTCGGGCTGATGGCATAAAATCGGGTTCAAACATTGCCCCCCCCCCCAGTTTCCTTGAACTTTGGCTTGTAAGCCGAATGGTTAAGGAAATTAAGTCTTTGTGCCCAATAAAATCTCATGGTATCGCCGAAGAAGACAAAAATTTATTGGCAAAAGAAAAGCACACCATGCTATTAAGAACCCATAATTGAACTCGTACAAGATGCCAATTTGCATCTTGGCCAACTCGTTGACCTCGGTCCGATCTCAATTTTTATCTTAGCTTGGCATGATAATCAAACTTTGGCCGAGCTTGGCCTGCCTATATATATAAACACTCTGATAGTCTTCCAATCCCCCATTTTCCTTCTCTTAAAAATTTGGCCGACTTGGCAGCATGGCATTTGCTTGTTTTTATATATATATATATATACTCCACCTCATGGCCGACTCTTATATATATATATAACCAATCTTTGGAAAACCAACCTCTGAACAGTTAACTCCATCCAAAACATGAGGCATCCAAATCAATATTTCAAAGGTATAGACTCCAAAGCTACTATCAAATCCGCGGTCTTTATTCGGCCAATCTTTCTTGTGGAAAAACTAAACTCCCATGGCCGAAATGTTGGTAAGGAAGAATGGCCGAGGATGGGTAGGTGTAGAGCATGCTGCAAATATTCTTTTTAATTGTCCAGGATACCCAATTTTATCGGTGGTTCGTGTTGTGGGTTTCGACCAAAATAGTCTACCGAAGACTTTAATTTTTAAGCCGAGCACACCATCTTTTGGATTGCCGCACCACCTTGTTACCCCCTTATTTTCTTATGCATGGGCCTAAAAGGCCGAATGGTTAAGAAAATAATTTATTCATCCTTTTTTTTTAGAAGAAAATGACAGTGGACGAACTATAAAGAGGAGGAGGCCAACGATGTTTTATTCCGAGCTGAGAACTTTTTATATCAAAATTCTCAATTTGATTTTGCTTTATGCCGAATAAAGAATCACTTCCAAATACTTTTGACTTGGTGAAATATTTTTCATTGGCCGCCGAATGTGTTAAACAATTATTATGCCCTCCAGGCATAATAATTTCGTCAATTTCGGCTTTTAACTCGATTAACTTAGCCGAATGAGATATTTCTATATTGGCTTTATCGCCAATAATCGTATCGATTGGCGTGGTTTTTTCGGCTAGGCCCATGTCTCGGCCTTGTTCATCATTAGAGCACTCCTCTAATAAATCATTTTCTAAATCGACTTTTGGCTCATAAACTTGAACTCTTTCTTCTATGCCTACTACACTTTCAGTCTCAACCGAGACAACATGTGGCCTAGGTGTTTCTTTGGCCGTCTTGGCAATATCCTGAGGCCGAATTTTTATTGTGTCCGGAGCGAAAAATTGCCCCCCAATCTTTTGATCCAACCATTCTTCAAATGGAATTTATTTGAACCTAGGACAAAACGGCGTTTTCTTATCGAACCACTCATCAAATCGAGCTCTGCCTTTTTTTAACCATTGATCTTGTAAGCTGTGATGAACCTTCACCTTTATCATTTGAGAGAAAGATTTTTCCTTTTCTTTATATGCTTCAATGATCTGGTTAAGGAGTTTGTTACACCTCTCGGCATTTTCCTTTAATAGGCGCCAAATCTCACCCTCACTGAGATCTTGATATATCATGTGAACTTTGTAGTTTTAGCACTGGTCCCACCGGGCGTG